CTGCGTTCGGCCGTCAGGGCGGTCTGTTCAGGAACGCGCTTGACGGAGCCCTTGCCCTTTTGTGCCGGCGACGTGCACGACGCCGGAGCGGCTGCAGGGAGGCGGGCGTCAGGCCTGTGCGGGCGAGGGGAGTCGAGCATCTCGGGGATGGCGAGGAGGTTCGGGTCCGGGCCAGAGGGGGCCTGGGCGGCGAGGCGGGCGGTGATGGAGCGGTTGGGGATGAGGAGGTTGAGGTGCGCGAGGGCCGAGGCGTAGTCGCGGGGTCGTGGGGTCGCCATGGTGCTGGTGGTTCTGTGGTGGGCGCTTCTGGTGTGTAAAGGGTTCTTGGATTGGAAGCCCAATTGATAAGGTGAGGGAGAGGAAGTTGAAATGGGCGAAGAAGCAGCTGTGCGGGTTGCCCGAAGACGAGTCTCGAGGTGGAGTGACGGGCGTGTGAGGGATATCGTGAAAGCTACCTGGGGGTGGACCTTTGCCTGGAGGGGCCTCATTCCTCGGAAGCGAATTCTATATGATGGCAAGCACCAAGCGTTCCTTTCTGGTCATGGAAGTATGGGCCTGGGGTGGCTCTTGTATTTGGGAGTTGGCGGAGACGTCCAGTGAGTCCCCAATGTGTGAGGCACCTCATATGGAATCACCGTGTGGTGTGGCCTGTGCAATTCGCGAGCCATGCGGGACCCGCATAGCAGCTTCAGCACGACGTCGAACCTGTTTTATGCCAGCGTGCAGTAGAATTCCAAACCAACATCAAAGCATCTGGTGGCCGAATTGCAAGTTTTTATTTCAACTTTATCTTTGCACGTATCTGGTCTAAGGTCTTCGATGTACCGAGTCTGGTTATAGTTCTCCGGGGGTTAATCTGAGCCGTTCCATCTCGTCAACCAGTAGCGCTGGATATCCCACATCCCGCATTATCTGAAGAGGGAAATGTCGTGCCCTGGCTAAACTTTTGATGATCCGGGAGCCGTTTCCCTGCAATCGGAACTTGGGTCCATCAGAGAAACTATCAACATTCGTTTGAAGTATCACAGCAGAAGGCTCCGAAACGACGGGAGAGACTTCATACCTAGGCAGGCAAGACTCGAACCAAGATGCCCAGACCGGTTGCTGAGGCGGGCTCAATGTTAGAAGGCTTGGATCTGCCTTCGCTTCTTCAATCAACCATCCGATGGGTTTTTTTTTTCGTCGAATACGGGCTGCAGAAGAGCTGCAGCTAGCACGCTGCCGTACCAACCACTTCGCAAAGGCCGGTTCACGTCAGCAACAAGTTCAATAAGGAGCTTCAAGGCATCGAGCATTCATTCCTATAACGGCAGCGCGTGCTACTATGCTTCCATATGGTTCTCGATCAGAGTTCATGTCCGCCACAGCTGTAATTGGCGTCTCTAACATGCCTCTCGCAACTGCTGTCGGAAGCGCCACAAAGCATCCACCACATCCTCCGACACCAAACGTGGCCACCCGTCAAAAAGATACACGATGCTTGCGCCCCGCATTGAGTAATATGGCACGAGATCGGCGCAATGATGAGT